AAACACTGCCACCGTAGGGTGTGTCCACACTACAGTCATTTTGAAATAACTCACATTATTTTGAAATATCAAGGTGAGTACCCACACAGAACGTCTGTTATTTAGAAAGTATTTTGAAATAACAGTCTTCTTATTCCAAAATAGTAAACCCTCATTTCATGAGGAATAATACCTATTTCAAAATAGCTCTTTCGAAACAGGGTGAGTGTGAATGGCTCAGTTGTGCTTATTTTGAAATAACTGGCCCCCAGGGCTTCCCATAGCTGCCCTCGTGGCCATTCTGTCCATCCCCTTCAAAACTCTATAGCTTCCCTTCCCCTGCAGCCTTTAAAGGTGCAGGCAGGAAAAGTGCTTGTGGCACAAGCAGGTCCTGCTCACACCGTGTCACACAGCAGCACTATGCCCAGCCTTTCCTGCTGCCATGGCAGACTCCAGCGCTCCCACTGAGCCCCCAACAGGTGCAAGCATACCAGCAGCCAACTCTGAAGCTCTGGATAGGGGCAGAAAAGGAGGGCACCCTCGTAGACTGATGTGGAGATCCTGTATCTCATTGAGGTCTGGGGGGATCAATCAAACCTCCAGGAAATGCCAACATCCATGCCTGGATGGCTTCCAGCCTGGTCCAGAGGGGGCACAGCCACACCTTGGACCAAGACTGAATGAAGATCAAGGAGCTCCAGCAGGCCTACACCAAGGCTAAGGAAAGAAGTTCCTGATCAGGAATGGCACCCCAGACTTGCCGCTTCTATGCCCACTTGGATAGTATCCTGGGAGGGGGGCAGGTTGCCTCCCCTTCCCTAGTCATTGACTCTGGACATGCCCACTGTCCACCTCCAGGAGGGCAGGGCTGTGGAGGAGGAGAAGGAAGAGAAGGCCAGCACTGACACCATGCCCACTAGCCTGCAGGTAGTTATCATTCTGAGATAATACCTCCCTCTCAGTTATGTCTTCAGGCCTCAGATGACCCTGGGGAAGGCCTATTAGGTGAGTTCCATCACTTTCCTTATCTACACATGGGGGCAGGCAGTGGGCTACAAGTAGATGCACATTCCTTGCTCGGCCTTCTTGGCCTGGGGATCGCACAGCAGCTTGTGCATATGGATGCACAAGGGGCACCAGTTAGGAGCAGACAGGCCAATGAAGCTGCCACACAGGAACCAGTTGCTACTTCTCAGAAGGTTCTTGCACAGGCCTGCCTTACTCTGGGTAAATAGTGAGGTGGCAAAATTTGCAGATGATACTAAACTGCTCGGCTACGTCTACATTGGCCCCTTTTTCGGAAGGGGCATGCTAATTTTGAAAGTGGGAATAGGGAAATCCGTGGGGGATTTAAATATCCCCCGTGGATTTAAATAAACATGTCTGCCGCTTTTTTTCCGGCTTGGGGAAAAGCTGGAAAAAAAGCGTCTAGACTGGCCCGATCCGCCGGAATAAAGCCCTATTCCGGAGGATCTCTTATTCCTCGGCAGTCAAAAAAGCAAACTGAATGTTAGGAATCATTAAAAAACGAACAGAGAGTAAGACAGAGAATATCTTATTACCTCTATATAAAACCATGGTACACCCACATCTTGAATGCTGCGTACATATATGGATGCCTCATCTCAAAAAAGATATATGGACATTGGAAAGGGATCAGAGAAGGGCAACAAAATGATTAGGGGTTTGGAATGGGTCCCATATGAAGAGATTAAAAAAGACTGTGACTTTTCACCTTAAAAAAGAGGAAACTAAGGGGGGATATGATAACGGTCTTAAATTAATGATTGGTGTGGTAAAAGTGAATAAGGAAAAGTTATTTACTTGTTCCCATAATGTAATAATTAAGGATCACCAAAGGAAATTAATAGGCAACAGGTTTAAAACAAAAGGAAGTTTTTCTTCATGTAGTGCATAGTTAACCTCTGGAACTCCTTGCCAGAGGATGTGGTGAGGGCCAAGACTTTTAACAGGGTTCAAAAAAGAACTAGATAAATTCCTGGAGGTTAGGTCCAACAATGGCTATTAGCCAGGATGGGTAGGAATGGTGTCCTTAGTCTCTGTTTGTCCGGAAATGGATTACAGGAGAGGGATCATATAATGATTACCTGTTGTGTTTACTCCATCTGGGACATCTGGTATTGGCCACTGTTGGCAGACAGGACACTGGGCTAGATGGTCCTTTGGTCTGACCCAGTATCTCCATTCTTATTGTCTTATGTCCCCCCCCCCTTTCCCTAGGAAACCCATTGCAGTGCTTCTCCATCCTCTTGCGACAATAGCAAAAGAGTTATACCTGCATGAGCACAGCCGTGAGGGTTGATCTCCTGATGCTGAACTGGTTCTTGATGGAGTGGTAGCTGCCCGGCATGGTGAACTTCCAAATAGAAATGGCAACCTGCTTCCGGAGGGGAATGGTGGGTTGCATCTGGATGACCCATTGCTGGAGAGCAGGGGCGAGCCATTCACAGAGTCCATGAAGGTGTCCTTCTGCATGCGGAAGTTCTGGAGCCATTGCTGATCATCCCACCCCTCCACGACGATCTGGTCCCACCAGTTGGTTGTGATCTCCTGTCACCAGAAGCAGTGGTGCACGCTGTGCAAGGGGCGTGGGAGGAACTGTGGTACATGAGAAGTGCCTGGGTCTGGGTTAGAAGTGTAGACAAAGCTTCATAGTTGGCTCATGATCCACTATGACAACCACATTCCTTGCTGCAGTATTCCTTCATAGGTGTTCAATTCCCATGTCTTGTTTGCAACTGATTGTTTCTTTTTCGGTGGAGTACTTTGCATATGTGCTGACTGAGTTTCATTCTATTCAGCCAATTTCTCCAGATAATTTTGAATTTTAATCCTATTAAAAGCACTTGGGACCCCTTCTAGCTTTGTATTGTCCATAGACTGTAGGCTTTGCTGACTCTTAGTGGCTATTAATCTCTTTACTATCTTGTGGAAATATTCTATAAATCTAACTCGGATGCAATTCTGGTGCTGTTACATGGACACTGTGGTTATTGACTACATTGTGAGCTGTTTTGAGGTATACACTTTTTAACCAAGAATTGTGCCAGAAACATGTGCATTTCTATAATTAATGTGATTGATTAAAATCACAAGGGGACTTAACTTCATGCAAGATGGTAAGTCGATAGTGACACCATCTTGCTAGCCTGAGCTCATTTGCTTAAACTTGAAATGTTCACTTATGTGTGTATGTATGTGTTTTCCTCCTCATAGCTTTTAACAATGTGGAAAAGCTTCTGCAATAAAAGCTCTGAAAGTGGGCAGGGAAGGTGAACTCTAATCTCACCCATTAGGCCTATGTCTACACTGGCAGGTTATTGCGCAAGAACGGTTGTTCTTGGGCAAGAATCTGCAGACCGTCTACACTGCCCACCCGCTCTTGTGCAAGTAAATGTACAGTACGGCGTGATAAGAGACAGCTCCTTGAGCAAGAGCTACGCTGTTTTCTATCAGGCGTAAGCTCTCTTAAGCAGGCGCTCTTGTGCAAGAGGGCAGTGTGGATGTTCGGCAAACGCGTACTTGCGCAAGAATTGGCCTTCAGTCAAAAACACAGGTGGCCTCTCCGACACTCCATACAGGCACTCACCACTCATTGGTTCCCCCTGGTTGGCCCCCCTTAAAGGCACAGGCACGCAGCGCAGCCATTTGCCAGGGGGAGCAATGGCAACTGCCCAGCCTCAGCCAGGTCCCTCAGACCCCACCGAGGAGCCACCCCAGAGTACCCAGCAGGCCCACAGGGCCACCAAGCAGTGGGCTCCATGCTGGAGCACCGCTGAGGTGACTGCCCTCCTGGACCTCTAGGGAAAGGAGGAGGCCCTCTGGGACTCCAAGTCCAGGAGGAGGAATGCAGAGATCTTCACCCGGATGGCCCAGGTGCTGGCCGCACAGGGACACCCGGCCCAGACCCTGGAACAGGTCCAGGTCCAGGTGATGGCCCTGCGCCTCACCTATGTGCGGGCCAGGTGCCTGTCCCCATTACCACCGCCTGCAATGCATCTTGGGGGACAAAGGAGCCAGTCCCCCGCTGGCCCAGGTGGAAACAGTGGTGGCCACCCTAGTGGTCCGACCCAGGGAACTAGAGGAGGAGGAAGAGGAGAAGGGAAACCGGTCCACGGACAAGGAGGAGAAGGAGGAAGTGGCAGAGGACAGCAGCCAGACCCCACCATCCCAGCCCAGCAGCAGTCAGGACGTGTCCCGGGCATCCTCAGAAGCTGGTGAGGGATTGTCTGGTGTCTGGGGAGTGCAGTGGCTACCATTCACAAGTGTGCTGGAGACGGGGGAGGGGGGCAGGGAGACGGGCCACAGGGTTGGGGAGAGGTAGCGGCACATGGCACAGCCTGGCCACATGCTGTGCAGAGGCATGCAGCACATGCAACCTCGTGCAGCTAGGGTTGCCAGGTGTCCAGTTTTGAACCAGACAGTCCAGTCTTTGAGCTTTCTGTTCGGGAAACAAATGGAGAGGATATAAATGAGGAAATATAAATGTCCAGTGTTTTATAACTAAGATGTAATGTAGATGGTCATGTAATGTCAAGTGTGTCCAGTATTTTTGTTGAAATCATCCGGCAACCCTACGTGCAGCCAGACCAAGTGGCACAGAGAAGCGGCAGCTACCCCAGCACACGCCTGGGACCCCAGGGATTCTGCTTGACCAGACTGGGGTGGGGGCGGGTCTGGCCAAGAGTAGGCCAGACCCAAGGTTGCAGGACTGACCCCACACAGCCTAAAGGGTGCTGCACATAGCACACATCCATGGCCACCTCTGGGACACTTTAGCTTCCCCTGGGGAAGGCACAACAGGCCCTCCAAGCACATGCGCCCCCCCCTTGGGGCTTCTGGGCCACCCTGGGACCCCCCACCCCCGCTGCCCCAGGGGAATTCCCCCTTGCCAGCCACACCTGTCCCCGGGCATTGTGACGTGCTGGGAGGAGGGCACGGAGTGCCGGAACACCATGAGAGCTCACTGACCATGTTGCTCTCCTCTGCTTCTCCTGCAGTGGGACCCCCTGCCAGCGAGGGATCTTCCAGACCCCTCCCGCCAGCCCCCTCCAGGGCCCATCGCAGCGCTCCTGGGACCGCCACCACCTGCTCCGCCACCATGTCTGCACGATTGAGCGCATGGAGCGTGCTCTTTCTGAGAAGATCTGCACAGATGCAGAGTGGTGGGACCAGGTGTGGGACCAGTACCTGGAGTGCTGCAACCATGTGTACAGTATCCTGGGCACAACTTCAGACTGAATGGGCCCTGTGTAGCAGCCCAGTGCTGAAAGCCCCCCTCTTCCACCTCCAGCTCTCCCCCCGCTTCTCCTCCTGCCTTGCCCATGCCCCTCCTGAGGTCCCCCACCCTCGGCACCTCCTGGTGCAGCCTGCCCTGACCCGGCATGAGGGGCAGAGGCGTCCCCGCATCTGTGCGGGTGGGAGAGGCCTCCCTTCACACCCATGAGGCCCTCCCAGTTCAGGGCCCCCTCCTGCCCCGTCCTCCCAGTTCAGGGCCCCCTCCTCTCCTCTCCCCACAGTGCACCCCTTTTCCTTCTTCCCCCTCCCCACAGTGCACCCCCTTCCTTGTGTGAATAAAAGCAAGTGCATATAAAGCAAGTGCATTTTATTTATTGGGAGGTGAGGGAAGGGTGGTGGGAAGGAGTGGTGATGGGAGCGGGAAGTGGGGGCATGGGGACATCCCTGTGGTCAGAGGTGTAGGGGCGACCTATTGTGGAGCCTGGTCCAGCATTACCCGGAGGGCTTCCCAGACCCGCACCGCGTGGTAGTTGGTCTGCCGGGTGGCGGCCATTTGCAGCTGCTGGTAGGCCTGGCCCTCACCTGCCATCCACCCTGGGAGGAAGGCCTCCCCCTTCCCCTCAATAATATTATGCAGCACGCAGCATACCGACATGACCTCTGGGATGTGCTGCACCCCCACGTCCAGGTGGGTAAGGAGGAACCTGAACCGTGCCTTGCCCCCTCCTCTCCTCTCCCCACAGTGCACCCCTTTTCCTTCTTCCCCCTCCCCACAGTGCACCCCCTTCCTTGTGTGAATAAAAGCAAGTGCATATAAAGCAAGTGCATTTTATTTATTGGGAGGTGAGGGAAGGGTGGTGGGAAGGAGTGGTGATGGGAGCGGGAAGTGGGGGCATGGGGACATCCCTGTGGTCAGAGGTGTAGGGGCGACCTATTGTGGAGCCTGGTCCAGCATTACCCGGAGGGCTTCCCAGACCCGCACCGCGTGGTAGTTGGTCTGCCGGGTGGCGGCCATTTGCAGCTGCTGGTAGGCCTGGCCCTCACCTGCCATCCACCCTGGGAGGAAGGCCTCCCCCTTCCCCTCAATAATATTATGCAGCACGCAGCATACCGACATGACCTCTGGGATGTGCTGCACCCCCACGTCCAGGTGGGTAAGGAGGAACCTGAACCGTGCCTTCTGACGCCCAAAGGCACACTCCATGGGATTGCAGGCCCGGTCCAGGTGAGCGTTGAAGGTGGCCTGCTGTGGTCCAGTCAGCCGGTGTATGGCTGCATCAGCCAGGCCATTGGGGGTAGGCTGCATCCCCCAAGATGCAGACCAGCATCCTGACATCCCCAATGGTGAATTCCCGCTGGGGGAAGTAGGTGCCCACCTCCAGTCTGTGGCACAGGCCTGAGTGCCTGAAGATGTGAGCATTGTGGGCCTGGCTGGACCACCTCACGTATACGTCCTGGAACCGGCCCTGGTGGTCCACAAGGGCCTGGAGCATTACCGAGCAGTAGCCCTTCCGCTTTATGAACTGGGCCACTCGGTGCTCTGGTGCCTGGATGGGGGTGTGGGTCGCATCTACGGCTCCCCCACAGTTCGGGAACCCGAGGCTGGCGATCACCCTCTGGAACAGCACATCATTGATGGCATGGACGACCTGCAGAGGGGCACAGGGGATGCATGGAATGAGACACAGTGCGTACATGGGCCCCTGGGGTGTGCTCACCCTCCCTTTGATGGCCTCTCCCCACACACAGGCCAGGGCCCTCTGCCCCCCGGGATTTCCTCCTCCACCACCAGTGGGGCTGTGTGCAGAGCTTCCCCTTGCCCCTATAGCCTCCCCCCACCTGGTCTGGCCCCTTCCCTCCCCCAGGACGAGCTCGTGGTCCACAGAGGGCCTTACCTGCTGGACGACCGTGCTGATGGTGGACCTGCTCACCCCGAACTGGTTCCCCACGGAGCAGTAACTGTCCAGGGTGGCCTGTTTCCACAGGGCAATCGCAACCCTCTTCTCCACGGGGATGGTGGGGCACAGGCGGGCGTCCTGCTTCCGGAGCGCAGGGGTGAGCCAGGTGCAGAGCTCATGGAATGTCGTCCTGCACATCCAGAAGTTCTGCACCCATTGCTGGTCGCCCCATTGTCCCAGCTCCAGGCACTCCCACCAGTCCTCACTGGTGTCGTAGCTCCAGAGGCACCTGTCAGTGGTGGGGTGCAGGTGCCCAAGCCCAGCTGCAGCCGTGGTGAGGTCCTGCACCTGCTGCCCAGTCTCCAGCTCCTGCTGGAGCAATGTGGCTCCCTAGTGGAGGAGCTTCACAGCCTCTATAATGGCCCTGAGTAGCAGATGTTGCTGACTGGGGTCCTCCTCCGGCTCCATGGCTGTGACGGTGGCAGCAAGGGTGCCCGGGGCACTTGCCAGGAACAGAGGTGACAGGTGCTGTTGTGGCTTTCACTCCCTCAAAAGGGTGCGTGAGCATGCAGCCACAGGGAAACGGCCGTCCAGGAGTCCCTTTCAGTACGTTTCCCAGTGGGGGTCCGGCACATGCCCACAGACGCTGCTGGTGACCTCTTGACATGGCCAATTTGCTTCCGGAGATACATTGTTAGTCTTTAAAGTGCTACGTAGTCCTGTTTTTTGTTTCAGCTAGACCAGACTAACACTGCTACATTTCTATTTCTATAATGGCCATGAGGGGACGTTGCTGGCAGGAGTCCTCCTCCAGCTCCCTGGCTGTGCAGGTGGCAGCGAGGGGGCCCGGGGCACTTGCCAGGAACAGAGGTGACAGGTGCTGTTGTGGCTCTCGCTCCCTCGAAAGGGGTGCCTGAGCTTGCAGCCACAGGGAAACAGCCATCCAGGAGTCCTTTTAAGCATGTTTCCCAGTGGGGGTCTGGCGCAGGCCCACAGACGCTGCTGGTGACCTCTGGACATGGCCGAATTTCTTCTGGAGACACGTTCTTGCGCAAGGGCTTCCCACCAGTGCAGCTTCCCACAAGGGCTTCCCGCCAGTATATTCTTGCGCAATAACCCGCCAGTGTAGGACATAGCCTAGTAGTTTAGCAGTAAAGAACCCTCTGTCCAGGTGTGGTAGAAATTTTTGTCAGCACATCTAGAACCTGCACCCTTTCCCCACCCAAACTCCCTCTTCCCTGCCTGCCTAAGACTGTGGGAGGGAGATTAGATGGGGGAGAGTTGTGGGCTACGGGAGGGAATTTGGGTTCTGAATGCAGGCTCTGGGTTGGGGCAGAGGATTAGGATACAGGAGGGGGTGCAGAATCTGGGAGGGAGTTTAGGGTGGAGGTGCATATGAGGAAGTTGGGGGTGGGATGGGTACAGTGGGAGGGTGCAGCTCTTACCTGTGGCACCCCCTTCTGGCCATTGCTTAGGGAGAGGGTAGCACATGAAGACATTTCCTCCCCAGGCTGCTCTAGTTCCATTATGCTGCTGCTGGTGGTGGCAGGGTCTCCTGGCTCATTTTAAATCACCCAAGGGTGGCAGGCAGGCTGGAGAATGTATTAGGGGAGAGAGGTAGGAAAGTGCTAGGGCAGCAGGACAGCCTGGGGAAGAAACCTGGCTCTGAACTTTACTGGAGCTGGGCCCCAGGCCAGGAATATTCTTGGTACCTGGGCACGCTGTAGAACTCGCTGCCCATGCCTCTGTTGAGAATGATCTTGCTCCAATTTCAGCATGGTCTGAGCATAGCTGCCTGGCTGGGTTTTGGCCTTGGTACCAGCCCACTGAGGGCTTTAAAGATGAAGAGTTGGAAATGAACAGAAAGCCAGCCAAAGGAGTTGGGCAAAGGATGCATGCTGCATTTTTGCTGCTGGAAAGATGCAGTGTGTTTACACAGGTGGGGGAGGGGGAGGGGCTTGGTTTAGTACCCTAGTACTATGCAGGCAAAACTATTGGCTTCAGAGGAGCTAGGAATTCACCCTTTGGTCAAAGGCAGAGAAAATGATGCTAGTCAGGCCCCGCTATTATCAGCTCCTTTTATTGCAAATCTTGCGATATTTGCGCTTTTCCCAAATACTCAGCTGCAGGCCCGTGTGACTCATAGCCCACTTGGCTCTTTTATGGAAACGATCTCCATAGACCTCATGGCCGCGAGAAAAAGCTTGACAATGAGCCCCCCCGCAAGCTGACTGTGGGGAGAAAGCACCCGCCCTTGGTTGTTAGGACAGCCAGCGGCCTTGCTTTGTTGCTGACGGGGGACTGGCCATGGCTCCCCCCAGCACCCTGGCCTGCGAGCCAAGGCCCCGGCGCTTCTGCTGGCGCCGCCCGGAGGAAAGACGCTCGGCCAAGGGGGAGCAGGAGCGGCCCGGGGCTGCGTCTCTCCCGGCAAAGTCACAGGCCCACGCGGCCGGGGGGGGCGGGCTTGGGAGGAGGCGAGGCTGTCTCAAGCGCTCAGGGCGGGGGCTCGGGCTTGGCTCCGCCCGGCCGCTGTGCGTGGGGCCGCGCGGGTGTTTCCCAGCAGCGCGCACGTTGCGGGTGAGCCTGCGGGCGGGCTGGCGAGCGGCTCTCAGACCCCTGCGGCGGGGCCGCGTTTGACTCAGGCTGCGCCGTTGTCTCCCGTGAGGGGTTTGAGCACGGACTGCGTCCCTCTGTGTGTGTGAGAGAGAGACTGCACCCCGCTCTCAAACTCCGTGTGTGTAAATACGCCGCTTTCCTGTTAATCACGAGAGGGAGGCGCGGGAGTCTTCCACGCGATTTGCTCGCCGGAGGCGGATGAACTGGGCTGCAGTGCCCCCGCAAGTGCACGAACGCGCGGCGGTGTCCTGTGGAGGGAGATTCTCAGGAAATACGTTTTGTGGAAAAGCTTGAGACATTAAACTCTTATTCCCTTCTCTGGTGGAGTTCATCTTCCTTTCTGACTGCTGCTAAACTCAGCGTGCCTGGGATAATGCTTATCCCTGGTTCAGACAGGTACTTGTAACTGCGGTATTTGTGTTGATTTTGTTTTTTACACCATACTCCTCGCCAGGATAAGTTGACTTTTTAGTTCTATATTTTTGGCTTTGGAACATACACCAAGATCTAGAGGTCATGGAAGTGAATAGGGTCATTCTATAGATTTCAGTCGGATTTGGATTGGACCTTGTATAAAGGCTGGCTTCTGCAAAAGGCTCTAGTTATTTTGCCAGGAGTCTTGCTGAATTTAAAGCAGTCAATTTATTGGTTGACCATTCAAGGTGCTATATGTTGAGTTGAACAAATAATTTACAAAATAAAATAGTAATGAATTTTCCCTTCCTGCCAAATTGGTTTTTGAACAAACTGAAAATTTCTCAGATTTATTCATTTTTCAATATTATTTGAGGAAATTCTGCAGTGAATCGTACTTGGCCTTCAGATTATTTACCAAACGTTTGTGAAGTCTTAACAATTTACTCCTATCATCCCTCCATTGACCTATTTCCCAGTGATAATGAATGGTCAGTGGGAAATAGGTCAATGGAGGGATGATAGGAGTTACTATAGAGAACTTTCTGGGTGTCTGGCTGATGAGTCTTGCCCACATGCTCAGGGTTTAGCTGATCGCCATATTTGGGGTCGGGAAGGAATTTTCCTCCAGGGTTGATTGGCAGAGGTCCTGGAGGTTTTTCGCCTTCCTCTGTAGCATGGGGTACAGATCATAGCTGGAGGATTCTCTGCATCTTGGGGTCTTCAAAGTATTTGAGGGCTTCAATATCTGAGATATAGGTGAGGGGATTATTCTAGGAGGGGCGGGTGAGATTCTGTGGCCTGCACTGTGCAGGGGGTCAGACTAGGTTATCATAATGGTCCCTTCTTATCTTAAAGTCTGTGAGTCTACATCTTGCCTGTCAGCCCTTGTTTGTGTCCAGATTTTATTTTAAAACACAACAGCTTTTAAAGTTGCAACAAAGTGTTACAAACTTAAGGTCCCAGTCCTGCAAAAGCTTTATGCAAGGGCATTATTTTAAAGCACTCTGAATTAAGGATATTAAAATGCGGTTAATTGACTAGCCAGCTAGTCAATGGAATTTCCATCGACTAGTCGATAGGCATTTCTGTATTGCTCCTGTGAAATGTTCCGGGGAAGTGGGTGGCTTCCCCTTTGAAACTGCTGCCTCTGTGCCTTTCAAAGGCGCACAGGAGCTCGGGGTCAGCTGGGGAATCTCCAGGTGATCCTGGGTTCCAGGGAAATGCTGCGGGGACCCTGGGATCAGCTGGGGAGTCCCAGCTGACACCCGGCCTCCAAGGCTGCCCCTTTGAAAGGCACAGCCGCTGCATTTTAAAGGGGCACCTGCCACACAGCTGATCAGCGCATCAGCTGTGCAGCGGCTGCAACTTTGAAATACTGCCTTGGGGTGTCATTGAGGCAGCAAAGGGGGGAGGGGGATATCGACTAGTGAAAAGGCTATCTGATAAACAAATGATTATTGGATAGTTGGCTAATCGTTTACATCCCTACTCTAAATAGCCCTAGTGGGGGTGGTTCACTATGTAAAGGTAAGCATGTGGGCAGGGGTACCTCACCATACAAAGACCTATGGACTTCTGTGGGACTTTGTATGGTTTTAGGAGTCTGTTCTTGTGGGTTAGATTTCAGAATTGGAGTATTTATTTAGATTTATAAAACGTTATCTATTTCACTTAATAAATAGTCCAAGTTTACAATCAACGGACTTTATCTGCTGTTTCCGTTTGTTTTTAAATAACTTTATTACAGTTCTCAACACCTGGGAAATCAGAAAACAAAACCGCTACAATAATGCACATGCTATTTTAAATGTACTAATTTATAGACCATACTTTAGCCTGAATTGTATTAATAATTGTATGATGGTGCATCAGAGAAACCCCACTGTTAAACAGTTAGACCCTAATCCTGAAATGAGATCTGTCTTGTATGCAGGAGTTTGGATGTCTAACTTGAGTTTATTGCAAGCTCAAGGCTTTGGGATCAAATCATGCAGTTCTTTTCCAGGCAGATATCCACTAATTTAAATGAGAGGCTTTGGGGGAAGGGTGGCTTTTGAGTGAAGACTGGAAGATCAGGTCCCTCAGCGCTAAAGGAAGGAGAGACACTTATGATGACAACTATCTGGGTACCCCCGCTACTCTTTTTAAAATTATATTTTGGGGGAGTAGGAGAAGAACTTTATGGCTTGGTCCTGCATGATTTACCAGACAAAATTTCTGTTTAAATTAATTTGGGTTTACTATGTATGAATAGGGTAGGATTGGGCCCTCAGTGGTTTAACAATTTGTTTTCAAAAAGTCAATAGCTCACCATAGGCAGTCCCCGGGTTATGTACAAGATAGGGACTGTAGGTTTGTTCTTAAGTTGAATCTGTATGTAAGTCGGAACTGGCGTCCAGATTCAGCCGCTGCTGAAAC